GTGTCATTGTAACAGGTAACATGCGGGCTCTGGAGCCATATTACTTTAATCCAAAGCAATCCTGCTGCATCTATTATTTTCTGAGGGAAGATACTTTTGTTCCTTCTTCAGACCTGACCTTTCCGCATCTGGCAATGCACTAATCTAGCTAGCTCCATGTTTTTAACCTTGTGAGACAACAGGCCAGAGTCTGAATTCAGTTGAACTGGTGTAAATGCAAAATAATTCCATTAAGGGCAATGAAGTTTACTCTGCGTCTACACTGGTGGTGTACATGAGATCGGAATTTGGCGCATTGGCTTTGGGGAAGGGCAATGCACTGGCCGGTGTCTGTATGGATGCAAATTCCATGTAACTTTGACTAACTGCTCCCAGCCCCACCCTGATCCCTTATGACAATATTCCAGCTGCAGGCTGTGAAGTGGAAAACACATTTCCCTTCCACACTCACATCAGCAAACAGCCGGTGGCCATGTCTGGGCTTCATTTCCCATTAGTCACAGAGCTTCCCAGCACCGTCCCATTCCTTCCCCACACAGCGAGGTGGGAAACAGCTGCAGCTGCAGCTTGAATCTCTAGACCCTACAATAATCCAGGGCTATAAGTGGACTCTGTGCAATGCAGAAAATCACTTCTCCCACCTGTGCGGGGTTCTCCTTTGTACTGTGATTGATGAATGAGCAGCCCGTGGGCTATACTCACCAGTGCTGAGTGTCAGTTACTGAGACACTTGTCCTTTATGGCCCTTCTCCCATCTCAGAGTGGGGGGGGGGGGAGTCAGGGCAGCAACAGCAGCAGCCAATGAGCAGGGAACTGTTTTGCATGAAGGGGCCATTCTCCAGGGGGTTCTCTGGGGGTTTAAGAGAGAATCGGAGTGTTTCAGCCTGAGACCTGTTTGCCTCAGGAAGCCGAGTGCATCTGGATTTCTCACCATGGCCTGGGCCCCTCTGCTCCTTGCCCTGCTCACTTACTGCTCTGGTATGGAGGAGTCTTTCAAAATTACTCATAATTTTCTGCATATTTAATTTCCTTTTACTCTGGTTGCTGAAGCTCCTCTCACTCTATTCTCTTTGTGATTGATTCTGTTCCAGGTTCTGATGCCCAGTTTGTGCTGACTCAGCCGCCCTCAGTATCAGCGTCTCCTGGGCAAACGGTTACGATCTCCTGTGCCAGGAGCAGCGGCAGCATCACTGCTAGCTGGAATTCCTGGTACCAGCAGAGCCCTGGCCGAGCTCCAGTACTGATTATATATGAGGATAGCAACCGGCCCTCAGGGATTCCAAGTCGATTCTCTGGTGCCATTGACAGCTCTGCCAAAACCATCACTCTAACCATCTCTGGGGTTCAAGCCGATGATGAGGCTGATTATTACTGTGCTTCATATGCTGGTAGTGGCAATTCCACAGTGCTGCAAGCACATGGGGAACTGAGACCAAAACCTCCCACAGCAGCTCACGTGAAACTCCTCTGCTCTGGTCTCACTGTGTCTTTGTGCTGCCTGAGGCCCTGCAGCGAAATGAACTGTCTCTCCCCCGTCACGGGTGGTACAATCCCAAATCAAGGGCAAATTGTGAGGTAGCTTCTGTGTGTCTTGTTAGGGGGTGAACAGCCAGGGAGGCAGCTGCCCTGTAGGGATGCGCTGAGGCATTGTATGGCATGGGGCGGACACAGGAGAAGGCCTCACAGGACTCTGGGGAGGGAGGGGCTGGGGAAAGGAGCAGCCTGTGCTCTCCCCATCGCTGCTGCCCACTGCTAGCGATCCACAGGGGTTGTGGCCCTGTCCACTCTCCACCTGGGCTGGCCGTGCTGCCCTTAGAATGGTGGATGACACAGGTGGTAGCTGACCCCCAAGCCAGCACTCCAGACGAGCACCGTGTCTAGACTGGGTCTGGCTCCTGCGCAGGTGCATTGAGATGGGAAGGGACTTGGGAGAGTTGGGATGTGTTTCCAGGGGTGGGCTTCTTGAAACCCCTGCTGCGTGAATTCCCAAGCTGGACACACCCTGGGGAGGAAGGGTTGGGTCGGCTCCACCTGGGATGGGATGGGGATATCTGTCAGAGGGGCATTATAACCAATAATAGTGTTTAAGCCATGAACACGAATATAGAAATTCCACATCACAGGATGCCTGAGTATGAACGATACTTGATCAGACGAGTGCTATGAAGCCAATGACACATTTTCTGGTAAGGAGAATAACTGGAATGAATTGCTATCATGTATGCAACCGATATGACCCCAACTCTGGAGGGGTGGCCAACATGTAGGAGGGCAGAATTATACTGCAAAGAGATGCGGGAAGATTAAACCATTGGAGGCTGCAGGAAACCAGAGGCGACTTGGTACTAATAGACATAAAGCCTTATTCCAGGGAAGGAAATGAACAGCACAGAGAGAAGCTGGGGAAGGGCCAGAACCAGGCCGTTCCACCCATCGCACTGAAGTGAGTTTCTTTCTGGTTTGTATCGCTAACACTGTCCTAGCAGTGACCCCGGGAAGGGGTGCGATTGGGCCTGGGAATTAGAAGGGGAGGTAGCCACAGAAAAATCTCTTTGATAAGAAAGTGACCCACAGGCTGAAGCCATTGGAGAATATACCAGTGACCGCTAGGTGTCCTCACTGTCCCACAGTTTTGCCAGCTGCACTAAGGCTCCTTGGGACAGACAATGTCTAGCACAACCTGCGAACTCTGCAGGGAGATTTCCCTCTAACTGATTATTCACCCCAAGCCAGGTACTTCATGGAATGGCCCATTTTTGCCATACTTTTATAGCCATATCAGTGTCAAATGCAAAAAGAAGATGTATGAAATGTTGGAGGACCCTGTGTCTCCTTGTGAGCACCAGGCTGACATGGCTTGACCACTGGGCTACACACAAACCATGGCACGTGTCCAGTGCCATCCAACGTAGACATGATGTCTACCCTCCCTGTCCACGCCACCCATCTAGGTCTCATCTAGTGTATTTCAACCGCAAAGAAAGTGCAGGTAACACAGCGTTGCTGGGCACAAGCTGAGAGCTGTATCTGTGGGGTCAGTAGATACAGGCGGGCTGGGATTGCTGCTGCCCAGCTGTGCTGCTGATCTCCCTGGGGACTGAGGTCCTGTAGAAGGTGCATCCATGGGAAGAGCAGACCCCTGCCGCTCTCTGCTGCTTCCATTCCCAGGGCTCTGCTGGTCTAATGAATGTACATCTGCTCACTGAGGCTAGAGCCTCACAATTGATGCTTCTGGTCCTGGAGATGGGAAAGTCCTCAGGGAAGCTTGGCTGTGGGATGGAAACTGCTTAAATCCTGTTCTGTCCAGCAGCAGGACACGTGAACAAGGGCCAGTCTGGGTTCATTTGACGACAAAGGCTTAATAGATTAAAAGGGTCCCTTCATCTCTCAGTATGCACAATGGCCACTGAAGCTAGTAGGAGTTCAGGTATGTCTAGGACTTCAGGATTTCTCCACCTACAGAAAAGAATGGGAGGATATTATGGAGCCTCTACTTCATGACTTCTAGAAGAGGTTTTCTGGGAATAAATAGAGAATAAACTTCAGTTTGCATCCATCTAATTCTCCAGCAAGTAGTGGAAAACCAAGATTAAAAATGTAACTGACACAGAGGAATTCAGCACATGATGGAGAGATGGATCTGAACTAAACTCTGGGTGTGAACTTCCAGGAAGTCTTGAAATGGTGTAATGATTTTATACCCTAGTTGTGTATATCAGGCTTCATTTTGCAGTGGACAGTGGTGGGACAGGGAACAGGAAAGCTCTCTGAAAAGGAAGAGCAGGTAGTGCTTAATTTGTGCCAGGGCTGAGCCCCAGGACTTCTAGGCTTGGCAGTTCATAGCCCCCGGCCCCTCTGGGCTGGCTGCATCAATTATGAATGTAAAAAAATTGCTTGAGCCCCAGCACCTCATTGCTTGAGCCTTGGCATCTCGTTCATTACGAATTAAGCACGGAGAGCAGGGAAGTCAATAAACGATTGTTTCCCCTTCATTGAGTTCAAATCATTTACAAGGATGATCCCTCCTTTATCGGACTCAGGGGCAGGGAGGTGCTGGCAGCAGCAGCCAGTGAGCAGGGGGCAGATTTGCATGAAGGGGCCGTTCTCCAGCACTGGGGGTTTAAAAGAGAATTGGAGGGTCCCAGCCACAGACCCGTTTGCCTCAGGAAGCTGAGCTGGATTCCCCACCATGGCCTGGGCCCCTCTGCTCCTCACGCTGCTCACTTACTGCACTGGTAGGTGGAGGGTTTTCTAATAACAGTTGTCACCCCCTTTAGCTCACCTCTTTCTCTGATTCCAATAAATGGGGGAAACGGCTCATTTAACAATGTTCTCTTTGCCACTGATTTTGTTTCAGGATCCTTGGCCCAGTTTGTGCTGACTCAGCCGCCCTCAGTATCAGCATCTCCTGGGCAAACGGTTACGATCTCCTGTACCAGGAGCAGCGGCAGCATCAGTGCTAACTATAATTCCTGGTACCAGCAGAGCCCTGGCCGTGCTCCAGTACTGATTATATATGAGGATAGCAAGCGGCCCTCAGGGATTCCAAGTCGATTCTCTGGTGCCAGTGACAGCTCTGCCAATGCTGCCACTCTAACCATCTCTGGGGTCCAAGCCGACGATGAGGCTGATTATTACTGTTCTGCAGGGAGTCACAGTGATTCAGACACGTGAGGAACTGAGACAAAAATCACCCTTCCTCTGACCCATGCTGTGCTCAGTGCAGGCTGGTGGCTCCGAGCTCCAGAGATCAGTGCGCTGTGAGAAAGGGGAACTAGAACAGGAAATTCTGGTTTTGTTTCTTTTAGGAGAACGAACGTTGGTTTGGTCCATAGGCATCGACCCCATGAGGTGCTGGATGGTGTGAAACATCCCGCTGGGTGCTCAGTGCCTGAGTCTGAGCCGGAGCCTGCGATCCGGATGGCAGTGGAGGCCTGGTTTGGTTTTGTCCCAGCCCCAGTCAAACAGAAAGAAGAGGACTCCGACTCCCCCACCCGCAGCCCGCCCTGGCTTGTGGCAAGGGGAAGCCCTTGCTGGTAGACACCTTGCCACGGGCAGGGCAGGGTGACGATTTCCCGGTGGGAGATGGCTGTTCCCCCATGGCATGGTTACATTCACACACCCGCGCTGTCTCGAAGCCCGTTGCCAGGGCCAACGTGCAGGGGTTTGTGTCTGACCAACACCTGGAGAAAGGTGACGCCAGCACCACACCCCGCATCGCCATGGCAACGTCTCCCGGGAAAACAGCCTCGAGCACAGCCTGCTCGCCTGAGAGCAAAGGGTAGCACCACCCCAGTGCTTCACTTTCCCCAACGCGCATGTGCAGCCTCCCCCAAGCTGATAGGCTTATTTGCGCCTGTCCCTGGGCCGTGGTCACGTGATTCACGCTCTGCGCTGTGATTGGCTGGACAGTCACTCACGCTCTGTCCCTGCGCGCCTGCTTTCCCGGAAGCGGCGAGTCGAGCGGAGCTGGGGGCAGGATGGTGAGCGGGGAGGGGCCCCGGCCGCGCTGTGGCGGGAGCCGCCGGGGCTCCCCGGGTCTCTGAGGTGGCCCAAGGCGCGGGGTGCAGCTGGCGAGGCGGTGCCGGGGGCTCGCGGCCAGACACGGCCCGGGGCGGTGGCCCCAGCAGGGGCTGGGCTGTGTGAGCGCGGGGGGCGCTGGGGTAACGGGTGTAGTGGGGGGGCTGAGAGACATTGAACCAAACCACCCCTGTAGAGTGGAACCCACTTCAAGCTGGGGGCGCGGCAGCCCCCGTGTGTAGCCCCTGCCCGGGGGGTGTGGGTGGGGATCGCTATCGAGGGGAGGTAGATCTGCATCTTCCCTCTCCCACACTCAGCACTTGGCTTCAGTTTGCCTGTTTCCTGCTCTAAATGTACCGAGAAGGAGCCATGCGGGAGAATCGGCTAATCCTCATATTTTCTAATTCACTGTAAAATAAAAAATCCCCAGTCCCCCCTGAAAGGTTTCTCTTGGGACCGAGGTGCAGGGAGGTGTTTTACCAGGTTTAGCTAGAAGCTTATTTTCTTTGGTGTGTCATCACCAATATAAACCGGCTTTCAAAATAAAGGATCTGTGTGAGGATGTATCTGGAGGCCCTAATTCTGCAAAGACATACGCCTGTGTCCTCAGTAGCCTGCTTGCAGTCTGTTGACCTGCTCCCTTGGATAAAGTTGCAAACAGGCTTTAAGACTTCGCA